CTGGTGCCTTGATCTTGGACTTCCAGTCTCCTGAAGTGTGAGAAACAAATTTCTGTTGTTTTTAAGCCCCCTCGTCTATGGGATTCTGTTATAGCAGCCAGCCAGAAAAAGACATCCCCTTTCTTCATTTTTTCCCAGTAATCTCATTAAGTTCTTAGGGAAGCATTTGTTTAGCTGTGGCTGCATTAGTCAGCAGTCAAACTTCTTATCACCACATTTGAGTTGGGCTTTTGGCATTGGTAGTTGGGCAGACTCCATGTTTTTAGTGTTTTTTAGGTTTTGCTTTTAATACTTCATTTTCCCTTCCAAATTTGTGTTTAAGATCATGGGCTATGGTGGTAGCCATCTAATTTGCTGTCTACTTTGTGTGTGTGTGTGTGTGTGTCATCATTTCTTTATTTCTTACAAGAGAAGACAGAGACAGTCGACTTGCTAAAGCCATACGTGAATGTTAATGCAAAAAAGACCTAGATGCATGAAGTATTTGTCTTAATTTGCTGTCTTCTGAACATCTATTTCACTGCCAAAGTTTAGGGACACAGGTATGCTGAGCAAGGAAGTGTTCCCTTTTATAGGGTTGGGTGGAATTTTGCGGGTGTCCAGGTAAAGAAGAAAATTCAGAGTCGGCATCTTCCATTATATCCACGTTCTCATATTTTGCCCCTGGCCAAGTACAGAAAGTTTGGAGCAAAACAAAGAAGGCCCTTTGTTGCAACTGTCCCACTACGTTGAGTCAATCCAGCCCATTCCTGTGCTGGCCTGGGATCTGGAACAGCTGGGAGGATGGGCTGCTAAAGAGATCAGTATGAAAACCAGGCTGTCCCTACTATTGCTTCCCTGAACTTCTGGGAGAATTGCAGGATCCATGTCCTGTAAGGGTACTCACGGGGGAGGGGCAGATTTCTGTTTTAGATTAACAGGAGGGTTTATCATGCCAGAAGGTCAGTATTTACCTTGGCTTCAGCTTGATGAGTATTTACTTCTCCGTTCAGTTGGTCTCTCTGCTGACTTCAGCAGAAGTGAAGATCTGCTTTTTGTCTGCCCAAGAGGATGCTGACTGATATTTTCTTATCAGAAGGGCCTGGAAACATAGTTGTGGAGGAGCCCACTTCTCTAGTGTGTGTGTGTCGGGGGCTTTGTCTACCTCCACCAAGAAACCTGATCCCTCTTTGTACAAACAACCCCGTTTCTAAGGCGCTTTTGAGCTTACAGACGGGGGAGAGAACACAAGATCGCAGACAGATCACTTCTCTCATCTCCTTGTATGATGAAAACTGGGGAGATTCTGAGAACCCTGATTGTGTCAGAGTTGTGGTGAGAGGTCGAGGAGTTAAGGGCTCTGTGGCGCCCTGCTGACCCTCATTTGTCCAGTTTCCATTTTATCGAGGTCTGGGGGTGGGGGCACGCTGTGTGATGCCTGAAGATCACCAAGGAAGAGAGGAGGAGGGAGCCAGAACTACGACCCCGGTCCCAACTCCAAGGCTTCAATGCTTGATTGTGGCTTCTGTCTCTCCTGGGGCTTTAGCATGTATTTGGTGAGTGCCGCGGGCACAGTATAGAAATACAGAGACCAGTGCTCGTGTGGAGTTTGGATCAGGGGCCAGCCGGGGTGGCTGACGTTTGAGGAGGCGCTGGACCTTCTGAGGGCACCAGTACGCCCCTCAGTTAGGGGCTGTTCAAACTTTCCCGCTTTTGCCGCCGCTCACAAGTATGTTTTATCTTGAAAAATAATGCAAATGGCGCATTCTAGTCAATACTATTCCTGTATTTGTTTTAAAATAAAGTTTCATTTTAAACTGTCAACCACAGAGAAAGATGTACCAGGTTTATCCCGGGGCTCCAGAGTCTCCTGAGAAAGCTCCAAGCACTCCTGGGTATTAGCCCACTTGGGGCTTTGAAAAGGGAGCCATTTCTCAGTTTTATCCTTCACCAAAGCTCTGCAAATAATAATCATTAACATTTATTGAGCAGTACAATGTGTCAGGCACATGATTCCAAGCACTTTGTGTGAATAATTCATTGAATTCTTTTAGCAAACCCATACATTAGGTACAGTTATTATTCTGATTTTACGGATGAAGAAGCTCAGAGACGTTAGGTAACTTGTCCAAGGTCACACAGCTGGTACTGGTTGGAGTTGGACTCTACTACCTGATGTCCTCTGGGGGTGGGGGAGGGGTTAGAATGTGATACCACAGAATCCTTCTCCATTCTTCTCGGCTCCCATGGCCCCCCTTACGGGGCTGCTGCTGCTGGAAATCTTGCCTACAAGAGTGATGGCTTGCTAGGGTTGGGTTTATCCACAGCTGTCTTGGTGATAGGAGTGGAGGATGAAGGGAAAGTGAATTATAGAAGGCCACAACTGGAAAGGTCTTCAGAGACAAGCCAGTCCACTCTTCATTTTACAAATGAAGATGCTGGGGAGGACCGGAGAGGGAAGGGGTTTACCCCAGGTCACCCAGCAAGTCAGCAGGGGCACCAGGAGCAGACCTGGGGCTTCTGCATCTGGGTGGTGTGTGTGATATCACATTTCTTGATTTTCTGCATCTTTGTCTTTTTAATCCCTTGCCCTCTAAATGGAACCCCCTCTTGTTTGCAGAGTTTTCTCCAGACTGCCTGCTGGCTTTTTAAAAAAATTTTATTTATTTTTGGCTGCCTCGGGTCCTGGTTATGGCACGCAGGATCTTTCGTTGTGGCACGGAGGTTTCTCTCTAGTTGTGGCAGGGGCTCCAGAGCACAAGGGCTCAGTAGTTGGGGCACGTGGGCTCTCTAGTTGTGGCGTGCAGGCTTAGTTGCCCCGAAGCATGTGGGGTCTTAGTTCCCCGGCCAGGGATTGAACCCACGTCTCCGGCACTGGAAGGCGGATTCTTAACCGCTGGATCATCAGGGAAGTCCCTGGTGGCTTTTGAAGGAAAAAAAAAAAAAAAGCCCATTTTAACGCTTCCTAAAGAATAATGTAAGCAGCCTGAGGGTGAGAACCATGTTATTTGCTTCTCTAAGAGCATTCACTGCACGAGGACAGTGCTGGACACGCAGAAGTTTCTCAATACATGTTCACAGGGCCAGAATGAACTTTTTGTCCTAGAAGTGAAATAGAGGACCAAACTAGACCTGGCTTAGTCCTGAAGTTTCTGGGATGTATTAATTCTTTTCCTAAAGCTTTTCATCCTGAAAGAATCCTGCAGTTACAGAATAGTGGTATCCTTTCCTGTCCTTGGTCCCTCTAGCTTGGGTGCAGCCCGTGGCACTGGAAAAATGAATTTCAGATAAAAACTAAATTCTTGTTCCCTTACTGTAGTGTCTACAGCATAAAGCCAATTTACAGCAACGTGGAATGCCTCTGGTCTTTAAGATCTCACTATGCAAGTAAAGGAGGGAAAGGAGGAAGACATGCTTACAAATTCCTGGCGGGGGGTGGGGGGGGAGGATAACCTCATCATTTATTGGGTGTTGGAAAACAGCCCAAGGAACACAGTTCAGATTCCTTTTGGGGGAGGCACTGAAAATCCCCTGATAACCCAAATTCTCCAAATCTTTTAGGCCTTGAGAAAAGGATGGAGGACAAGATGAAGGAAGTGGTCCTAGGTGCAAGTGACGTTTCCCGTTAGGGGGCTGTCCACTCTGAGATGGACTGTTCATTCCGATTCCTAGATGGAAACTCTGGACTTGGGAAGTGTGGAAGTTCCATTTAAAAGGCCCAGGCAGGGGACTGCAGTCCAGTGGTTAAGACTCTACCCTTCCACTGCAGGGGGTGAGGTTTCAATCCCTGGTGGGGGAACTAAGATCCCACTAAGATTCTGCATGCGTAGTGGCCAAAAAAAAAAAAAAAGAAATAAAAGGCCCAGGTAGGATTTGAGGAAATTGAATGGGTGGTTTGGGGAGAGGATAAAGGGGGTTGGAGATGATATCTTGGTATTTGTACTCAAGAGGGTACATAGGGGAAATGTACATATGGATACATATTGGGATATGTAAACAAGAGGACAAAAGCCCTGGGAGCGGCCCTTTCCCTCCACATTTTCAACAGCATCTTCTGGTTCTTCCTTTAACAACAGTCCCACAGTTCTTTTACAAAATGGGTTGCAGTCCACGGAGCACTTCCATACTTGATGGCTTCTCTCCAGTCCTACTGGCATTTTACGGACTAGGAGTTCCCCACTGTTAGCAGGGACAGAGCTGGCCTCAGGACCTCTGCCAACCCTTGGTTGCTCTGGGGAGAATTAGAAAAAGACTTTCTCCCTGGGGGAGTGGGGCACAGGATGGATTTCAGGTCCCCCCTGCTTTGTGCTGGGTACAAGCCCTATGGGGATCCTGTGGTCCAGAAAAGACCAACTTGGGGCCAGGCTGGCCTTGGGCTCAGTGTGCGATCTGAGACCCAGCCTTCCCATCTGTAAAAGGTGGGATTGTATTACATCTTCCCCCAGCTCCTTCCCAGATACGATGCCTCATGAATCTGTGAGTCTAGGGACAACTTCTCACCCCACATCAAATGCTTCCTTCCTTCCCAGCTGCTTCTCAGCTTAGAGAGACAGCTGGCAAGGTAGAGGCTGGAGGTGAAAGGGGGATAGAATTCTGGGGAAGTCTGGGTGTGCAATGGTTTGGTCAAAAGAGCCTTGGACAAGGAGTGTGTATTTTTTCTGCTTAACTTTTTTGAGCCTCAGTTTGTACCTCTGAAAAATGGAACGGCATCACCTTATATAGAGAGCAGTGCTGTGGGGATTAAACAACATTGCCCAGGTGAACTTGCCAGACACAGAGTGGGTGCTCCGTAAGCACTTGCGACCCGAAGAGGGTTTGGTTGGGAAGGTTCTAAAGAGCGTGTGTTTGGGGACCCAGGCACAAGACCTGGCTTTCGGGGCGCGCGGCTCCCCGGACCCCCAGCGGAGGAGGAACCCCAGCTCTGCCGCCACTGCCGCCTCCTCGGCCCCGGACCGCCGAGGGTTAATGAGAAAGCCCCACGCCCCCTTTGACGGCGCAGAGCCCACCTCGCCGAATTTGAAAAGGCGGCCCTGAGAGGCGTGGGCGCCCCCCAGACATTTCCAGCTCGGACCTGGGCTCCGCTCGCTCACCGGCGCGCTCTCTCGGCTCCCGGCGGGGGCCGCGGGTTCGGTCCGGCCGTCGGTGCGCTCCCGACTGTCCTCCCGCCCGGGACTCCGGGTCCCCGCGGGCGGCCGCGCAAGATGAAGCTGGCTCTGCTTCTGCCCTGGGCGTGCTGCTGCCTCTGCGGGTCGGCGCTGGCCACCGGCTTCCTCTACCCCTTCCCGGCCGCAGCCCTGCAGCAGCACGGCTATCCTGAGCAGGGCTCCGGCTCTCCCGGCAGCGGCTACGGGAGCCGCCGGTGAGTAGCTGGGGGCGGCGGGAACTGGGGGCGCGCGGCAGCCCGGGGCTGGGGGCGAGGGGAGGTGGGGTTTGGGGCTTGGGATCTTGGGATTGGGGGTTGGGGGCGCAGGCTGCCGGGTCTCGGGGCCGTCTGGGGCTGGGGGCGCGGGGGCGGGGTTTGGGGCTTGGGAAGGTGGGATTGGGGGCTGGGGGCGTGGGGCGGTCGAGGACTGGGGGGGCTGGGGACGCGGGGTGATCGGGGCACAGACAGTGGGGGCTGGGGGCTCGGGGCGGAGAGACTGAAGGTGCGGGGCTGGGACTGCGGTGGTCTCTGGCCGCGCCCACCCCCACTTCCTTCCCTTGCTCTCCCAACCTTCGCCCCTTCGGCTCCCGAATCCGGGTGGAGGTGGCTCAGACCTGCGGCGGGGGCGCGCGAAGGGGTGACCGTGGCTGGCTGGGGCTCGGTGGCTCGGTTCCTGGACGTTTACCGGCTCACGTGGCTCCGCCGAGCTCACCTGCGCGGCCGGGGCTTTGTGTTGGGGAGCAGGTTCCCGCGATGCCAAGGCCTTGCATCCGGGCCCCCTACTCTCACGCCGGCCGCCAGGGACACCGGAGGGGCGATTCCGTCCGGTCTTTGGGTCTGGGCCCGCGGAGGAGCCTCGGCTGCGGCTCCCCAGCCACCTGGGAACGTGGTGCCGGCTCCAATCGCATGAGTCCGTGGTGGGGTCGGAGAGGGAGCAGGGTCACGGAGCCCGCGGTGCCCGGACCCACCCGCCGCCTCCTCCTCCGCCGGCAGGTGGCGCCCTGGCCACCCCAGGACGGTTAGGGCAGCAACTTCTCAATCCGTGGTTGAATTTCCCCAGAAAACGCGTTAAGTACTAAAGAAAAAGTTGCCCAATCCCTGTCTGCGTAACTCATTCGAATTTAGCTTTTCCCATTTAATAGTAATTACGACTCACACGGCTGTAATAGCCTTCTAGAACACACAACATGCATTGGTAGCATCCATCTCTTTTGATCCTAACACCACCCCAGGGTTAGCTATTAGAGTATTATCTTTCCTTTAACGGAGGAAACTGAGGCTCAGAGAGAGGTCCCCAAATTCGGTGGCAACTCAGGGCTCATCTCTTGTCTTCTTTCTCCAAATCCTGTGCTTTCTATGGCCCCACTCTGCTTATCGTTTATGGAGCAAGGTCCATAAACCTTGCTCCATAAGGTCCCAGTTCTTCTGTCCTCCATGGTGTTTACCAAGCTAGGGAGGGCTACCAAGATGAAGTCTTGTATCAAGGAGACAGGGATATTTTGTGTTGAGAAGAGCGGTACACTTAATGGCTGGATAAGGCGGTTCTCAGAAGAGCATTTAAAGTGCTTCAGGAAAATTTTGCATGCAATTTTATTTCCTTCATTTTGTTTGGAAGTACTTCTCCCAGGCTCCTATTAGTATTACTCTCCAAACACCCACAGTAGTGTGGACTCTGCACGCTTCCATAGGAGCATATTTTAAAAACTCAGCTTCTCAAATCGCAGAATGATATGTATAGCATGATCTCACTTATGAAAAAAAATTCGATCTATATCCAGATATCTATCTCTCTATCTATCTATATATATCCAGGAAAACAGTTGGTAGAAACCATTTTTGTCAGTTACCTATAGGGAGAGACCTGGGGCTGGACTAGGGGGGAGTGAAAGAGGACTCCCATTTTTTCCCTCTGTTTGCTTGTGTCTTGTTTGCATGTTTTACAAGGAGGGTCTATTCACGTATTACTTTTGTAATTCAAAAGTGTGTGTGTGTTGGGGGCTGGGAGTGGGGGTGGGGTGGGGGGTGGAGGCTCCTGCAGCCTGGACTCTGCATGCAGAGAGGGGCCAGAGGGGAAGTCCATGAAGGGAGCCAGTGAATGGGGACGGGGGTTCTGGCGTTCGGTGGGCTGGAACTTGGGGACTCCAGAGACACTTGGAAAGGATAGTTTTAGCACAAATAAAAAGAGGCCCAAACAAGTGTAATCTTCCAGAGCTCTTTCTACCAGGCCGGGAGCAGGGAGAAGGTATAATTAGGTTCAGGGAGGATCTGGATGAATTTGTGGAAAATGGATTTCTGAATAGCATATTGGGAGGTGTTAGGACTTGGGGCGGGTTCCAGATGCTTGAGAAGGGTGTTCCGGACTGTACCTGAGCCCTTCCATGCAAAGCCCTGCGTGGGCGCTGCAGGCACCTGATTCGGGTCCGGGCAAGTTATGGGCTGGAGCTGGCCTGGTGTCACATGTTCCTGTGTGTTATTCGCTCCAGAAGCGGAAGCCTTGGGGACGGCGTTTGGCACAGGGTTCTTCACAGCTTTGGCCTCTGCTTGGCTCCATACATGTGTTTACAGTGGCTTGGTTCCAGCTGATGGGCAGGGCTATAGGGCTGTTTCTTGACAAATGGTTTTATTTCATGGTTATTGCTCCTGTTGGCAGTTTGTGTTCTCCTTTCTGTGTGTGTGTGTGTGTGTGTGTGTGTGTGTGTGTGTATGTGTGTGTACCTGTACCTACCTTCCTGGGCTGGGTGTCTGTGTCTAACACGTGCTGGGGGCATCTTGCTTTGCCCAGGGATCCTCTGCTCTGGTCACCTCCATCACAAGCCCAGGGTGGGCCCCTCTGATGAAGCTATTTTGGCAAAAAGAAGAGGACTCCAATTCCTTAGAGGCCTGTTTCCAGTAGAATCTTGCAGCCCTGTGTTTGGGCCACTCATGACTTTTGTCATCCACAGTGCTGTTTAGATGCCAAATAAAAGCTAAAGGGAAGTGTAACGTTAATTGACCAGCAGGGTTGCACAAGGATGGAGCCTTGTGCTCCAGAAGAACTTCCCAGTATAAGGATAACACATTGGTGAAACTCTTTAATGGATGTATATCTCACTCTTCTCCCCGCCTCCCTCCCCCGATCATTCCCTCCCTCCCTTTCACAGATGGTGATTAGAAGTGTTGTCTGTTGTCTGCTCCTCATATCTGTATCCAACCCTAAAGGGTCCAACATAGCAGCGAGTCTTCCGGGCACGAGGAGTGAGAACCAGAAAGGGGGCCCTGCACCCCATCTGGGGTGCACATCTCCCAGCTGTTGATGGAGAGGTTTTAATTTGGATAAAAGTTAATATTCTTGGAGTGGGAATGTTCTTCTAAGAGAAACCAGAAGAGTGGTGGGACCTGCCTGGATTTTAAGCAGAGGAAGGAATGAATACATCCAGAGGGCGGGTTCGTGGGACAGGGGATGAGGGACAGAGTTGCTTTGTGCTTCTGCCCTGAAGAGTGGAACGCATTCCATAAACCTATTCCTTCTGTACAGGACCCGAGGCATGAGAACAAAGAGAGACCACATACTACATGGCTGAATATCTACAGGTTATGAATCAAGCTAACGGATGGTTAAATAAGTAGGTCTTATCCTCTAACCTTGATGAGTAATACCTTCACAGTGACCTGGAAAGCCAAGTTCAAATGAGGAATTCTTAGACGCTTTAGGATTCTCTGCTCTGGCAAGTGGTGGCAGGGGGAAGGCTCCCCACGGCCCAGCCATCTTCACTGCTTTTTGACCTTCAACTTCCTGTCCACTTATTTGTTGTTGTGTCTCTTTAGTCTTTTTCATTGTGGGAGAGTCCTCTCCTTTAAAAGAAAGCATTTCCAGGGACCTCCCTGGTGGTCCAGTGGTTCAGATTCTGCACTCCCAGGGCAGGGGGCCTGGGTTTGATCCCTGGTCAGGGAACTAGATACTGCATGCTGCAACTAAAGATCCTGTGTGCCGCAACTAAGACCCGGCGCAGCCAAACAAATAAATACTTTTAAAAAACTAATAAAAGAAGGATTTTCCCCCTGCCATTGACTTGGTGAAGAAGGCCAGTTGTCCTGTAGAATCCCAGGTTCTAGATTTGCCTGACTGCTTCCCAGTGGTGTAAATAATTGGATCCTCTATGCCCTGTATCTCTTCTATGTTAGAGATTAGGTGTAAATGTTTGATTAGATTTAGGATCTTTTTTTTTTTGATGGTGGTGGGGGAGAACAAGAACGCTTTATAGTTGGTCCAGTGGATCGTGTTATATCATATCTGGAGGTGTTATGGATTGAACGCTTATATTCCCTCCATCCCGCAATTCATATGTTGAAACCCTGACTCTCAATGTGATGGTATTTAGAGGTGGGGCCTTTGGGAGGTAATTATGAAGATGAAGGTTTAGATGAAATCATGAAGGTGGGGTCCCCATGATGGGATTTGTGCCCTTATAAGAAGAGGAAGAGAGACCAGGGCACCTTTTCTCTCTTTCTCTCTCTCCTTCCCATGTGAAGACACAGAGAGAACTCTGCTGTGTGCAAGCCAAAGAGATGGTCCTCACCAGGAACTAAATCAGCCTTGATCTTGGACTTTCCAGCCTCCAGATCTGAGAAATAAATGTCTGGTGCCTAAGTCACCCAGTCTCTGGTGTTTTGTTATGAAAGCCTGAGCTGACTAATATGGGAGAGCATGACAATTTTTTCCTGGAGAGCTGGGTGTCAAACCTTCACCAGAATACCACTGCCTATAGGTTCCCTCCTTCTTTGCTCTCTTTACTTTGCAATTTGTTTTGAAGAAACTAGGCTTTGATAGCGTTTTCCTTGTTCAGGATTTGTTTGATTATATCCTCATGGTGCCTGTTAACGTGTTCCCCTGTCCTCAGTGTGTCCAGAAAATTGGAAATTGGATAGGGAGGCTCGATTGGATTTTGGTTCCTTCTCCTCCTCCTTATTATTATTATTTGTTTGGGCAAAATTACCTCTATGGTTGTGTAGCATTCTTCCATTAAGAATCATATCAGGGGGCTTCCCTGGTGGCGCAGTGGTTGAGAGTCTGCCTGCCGATGCAGGGGACACAGGTTCGTGCCCCCGTCCGGGAAGATCCCACATGCCATGGAGCGGCTGGGCCCATGATCCATGGCCGCTGAGCCTGCGCGTCCGGAGCCTGCGCTCCGCAACAGGAGAGGCCACAGCAGTGAGAGGCCCGCATACCGGGAAAAAAA